ATTCTTAATTTTCACATGGGAAGGCACTGGAGTGTTTGTGAAATAATTGAAGGATTATTTTATTGCCTTCCAGTGTCAGGACATAGGGACCCTAAGGTTCGTTAGATGTTTAGACTGGCTGGTTTCTTCAAGAAAGAGAAGAAGCTGATTAGAGATGACTGGAGTCTGCTGTGCGGTACGTCGCTTCTCAAATGCAGCTCAGAGAATGGAGCAGCTGTAACACATAGACGTGTTCTTGCAAGCCTTCCGACATCGTTTCATCTTTTACAAGAAGATAGCAAGTCTCTTCAAATGAACTATGTTTAATTTAGTTTAAAACAGGCGATTTTAGAGCATAGCAAGTGCTGTGTGACTCTATCAGCATCTTGGAAAAAGTGAGGATAGTTTTTTTGGGTGCGTGTCTAGGGGAGATATTTTACAATCTGGATTATCTCTGAGGCTGATGACAGAAGGAAGGAAGGAAACTCACCCTGTGTTAGAACGATGTTTATCTGCGATTTAATGTTGATTCAACTTTTCAAACACAGGAACGGCTTTGGTTATGAAATGATTTTGAGTTTCAGCCTTTTATCCTGTTTTGGATTACACGCATAAATAAGGATACAGATGCTTTTGCTGGTATTTACTCTTCTCAACAATAGGATCATCTTGAAAAGTATTAAAAAGGGATTTAAAACCTATCAGATATATTTAAGAGGGAGTGAATAATCATGACATACAGTACAAGCTTTAAAACATAAAATGGAATTAGAAGAGATAGATTCTTCAAATATCAGGAGTAATAATGGTGTTTTATAAAGACCTGATACAGGGATCTCATATTTTTGCAGCTGTCTCTGCTTGAGATCATGTCTGCGCTAGTTTCTGTTTTCTTAATGCTACAACACACTGGGCATTTTTCCACACAGATGCCACTTAATCTTCTAAATTAGTTACATGAGATCTGTATATGAAGTAAAGGCATTAGAATGGCCCTCTTGTGATGATAATTTGTTCAATCATGAGCTGAGTAGAAACGTGCACACTATCAGACCCCTCAAGCTGAAGGACAGACCTGGCCCGATCTCAGAGCTCGGACCGGTACCGATCGGGTCCAGTGAACCTCCCCCACGCACGGCGGCCGCTCCTTACCTCTGGAGGGACACGATGGCTGCCTGCTCGTTCTCGTTCTCCGCCTGCGTCGTCCCGAGCACCTGCCAGGCCTGCGGGGCAACAAGGGTGTCACCTTCAGCGCGGAGCTCGTGCACCGCTGGGGGCTCGTGAGCTACCCCCCCCCCCAACCGTTAGCCTAATCACCAGCCATCCCAATAACACGCCCATCACTAGTAACTGGAGGCTGGCATGAGACCAGCAGTAATGCCAACCAGGATATCACTGGAAATTCATTTCACGTCTGCTTTAAAACAGCTACCCAGAACAATTGGTTTGTTTAACTACAGTATAACTAGATTTTTTAAAAACTATTTTCTTCCAGTTTGGGGTGGGTGGCATGTGAATCTGTAGTCTGGTCTCTTCTCGGGGTGACTGACTCTGTCCTCTTGGAATGCCAGTAGGCCCAGCTCCTGGAGTCTGGCCTGGCCTCATTCTGCACAACCCTGGAGACGTTATGCAGCTGTTGGGCCTCTTACTGCACCAGCCCTGCTCTTAGAAGGGCTCCAGGAATCTGTGGGTGCTGTTGCTGAGGGAGACGGGGGTGGGGAGGTCCGGGGGCAGGAGGAAGGGGGCTCTTGCCTCTGAGTCCTGGGGGTCCTGCAGGATAGCGGCCTCCAGCAGCAGGACCGCGTTGGGCAGGTCGCCCTCCCTGGCCTTCCTCACTCCTTCCTCGAAGGCGTTGGGCCAGTCCTTATAGGGGTTGTCGGTGTGAAAGTAGTAGCCCTGCAACAAACACCCGAAGACAGGGAAAGTGAGCACCCCAAATCTCCACCTCAGAACAACACAGGACGCTTGGCATCCAGGGGTAGAACAGTACGGGGTCAAGGGTCAGGTCATTTTTAGCGTATCGGGAGAACCTAAACAGCGGAATGATCTGCTCTGTATTTATTGCAGAGTCTCCTTATAATTGAGGAAGCAGAGTTACCGGTAACACACAGACACTGTCACATTGCTCACGGTCAACTTCACTAGGCAGTTACTGTCCTACACCCCAAACTCCTGCCTTCCCTGTGAACTGTGGAAAACACAGAGCTTCAATGTTAAAATGCATGTCAGTGTGTGATTGGCCTGTGTTACATGTGGATCCATAAGGAATGGTGCAGTGGACTGTAATAATATTTACAGTGCTCATGACACCAGCATAATAAAGTCATCACACATCCAGTGCAAAGTCAAGGGTCATGACAAGAATGAGTCCACAGCTGAGGTCAAATTTCCTGCATCCCGTTAAAGCGACCCAACAAAATGTTCTTGAACTGATCATTTACAGTTCTGTAGTGAGAACGGCGCCCAGACACTGTGCAGCTGAAAGAGGAAGACGCACCTTTTCGTGAGGAGAGATGCTGGAAGGGATCTGAGGTGACTGGTTTTCTGTCAGCCAGTTTCTCCGGGCCAGCTCCTCCCACTCTGCCTGCATTTTGTCCCAGAACTCGGTGTCGGACTAGAGAAGCAGGGAAACAAGCGAGCTGGGGCACTTGGCGGGGGCTGTCAGCGAGGACTGAGTCACTATTCCACGACCGGTGAGAGGGAAACACAACAGTCCACACGGAACCCCTTGCCTACTGTATCTCTTCCTACAACAGAACTAATTTTCTATCTTTTTTCAACACTGTAAAAAGGTACACACTTATTTTTCTGTAGGGAAAAAAATGATACCAGGAAAGTAAATGACCAGCTCATTTTCCAAATTGTAACACAGCGCTGGGCCTCTTGTAAGATAATGGGTGCAGGGGGGGCCCCCCTGCATTTTACTGGGAGGCCTGGGGTTGACAACACACTACCAGCGAACCTTTGAACCCCTTTAAAAAGCCAGAGCACTGGGGCACTTTATTAGTGAGAAGTTGTACATGATTACTGATGGAGGGCTTTAGCATCAGAGAACCAAGAGTTCAAGGAGAAAAGTACAATGAGGCACATTAACCATGATACTATGAGCATTTATTTATGGTTTCAAGAGCATCTCCCTCAGCTCCTTGTTCCTAGCCGCTTCTGCGGTCCCTCTGCCGGTCTGTGCAGAGGTCATTCGCGACGTACGAAAGGTTCAATTCAGTGACAAAGCAACGACCTTGCTGTTCAATCTCCTCTGCCGTCCTGAAAGACCTGTGGGGCTCCGTCTGTGGCTCGGCTGCTGTGCCGCGTGAAGGGAAGCACACAGCTTGTGCCCGTTTCGCTGCATGTGCGCGAGATCCACTCATGCAGATAAGACCGGCAGCCGGGGCGCTTCAGCAGAGCTGCAGTCTGCTGTGCTGACCCTTGCAGGCTCAGAGAGTCACCAGGCACAGCTGGGCCCTCCAGGCACAGCGCAACACATGTAAAGGTGATTGGTTTAAGAGCTTAAATATCTCGGGATAAAGTGACACCTTAGTGATAACAAGGAGCAAACGTAATTCTGCACGTTGTCCAGCTGTCTGTTGAAATTCCTCTCGCTATTTTTCTTCGGGAACAATTTTAGATGCAATTAAGTGGATAGTGTTTCCCTAATCTTTCTGATCTAATACAGATATGCTGAGTGGACAACTGATGGTGATTTATGACTCCTTAGATGTCCGTAAGCGCTGAGAAGCACAGAGGCTGTAGTTTCACAGTTACTTCTGCAGAAGACTTTGAATAGCTGGTGCATTTCCAGAAAGAGAGGTTTGGAGATTTTGCAGATGTTCAATACGAAAGCTAAATAATTAATTTTACTCATAGAATTTGTGTAAATCAGCACTTTTACGGATATATCCAGCAGTCTCATCCCGTGTGGATTTTTCATGCCACCTAGGTTCCACTGGTTTTTCTAACCCATGAAACACGCTGGATCGGGCTTGTCCTATAGTGGTACGCACGGTAATGTTCCAGACACTGACATGTCATGTGCGACCGCGAAAAAACCTAATTGCATTAGGACATGTGCCTTTATATAGTGGCAAGAAATAATAGGCTTTTATCCAAGTAACCTTGAAAGACGGTCCGTGAATTCAAGTTTCATCATAATCGCACCCCAGATTAGATTACCTATCAGACGGATATACAGTACATCCTGTGCGGGTCAAGACATCCTTCACAATAACAGGACACTATTTCTTGTCAGCCCCACAGACAGAAGGCCATTATTCTTGGGAACCTGTCCAGTTGACATGACAAGACAACAGAGTGCAATGCTGCACATGTGCGTCGTCAGAGCCCCTCAGACATACTGAGGGACACTCCACATGGTGAGGCTCTGGAGCCCTGCAGGAACAGTGCCTGGGCACGGGCCAGCGCTGGGTTAACGTGAAGGGCACGAGTCCAGCTGCTGGGTTCTACTGGACGAATACCTAAATGATTAATAAGGGATTAATTTATCAAGGTCTTTATGAGGCACTTGCATTATTCAGTATTTTCAGAAACCAGATGAACAAAAGGCATTGAAAATATGGATTTTTAAGTTTTCAACATATCTGTTTTTCAACCAAAAATGCCAAAAGAAAATACGACACTGAAAAAAGCTCTCGATGCATCTCATACAATGCCTTGCTCATTTTAGTCTCGTTAACTCCCACAGAGATGTGAAGCATGAACAGAACTGGCTCTGTATAAAATAAATCTATATCTCCAGAGAACAATCTTCCTACTTTCCAGTGAGGTACACTAAGCTACCTTGCCAGAGACATTAATTCCGATGACTGTGATAGAGTTAGAATGTGAAACGGAATGTTAGTTTCTTCAATGCCTGCCAACACATGTCAGTGCAGAATATGAATTAACCACAAGATTCAGAGGTTAGTGTTTGCTATGAATACATCATTGTCTAAACCAGCAGTAGAGAGAACAAGCCTGATGCAAGTTACGCTCTTGAGCGGCTATTTCTTGTCCATCTCCATGAATGAGGACATGCGCTGTGTTCCGAGACTCGTCCCAGAATATATTGTCGCTCAAAATGACAAACAAATGCCTTCAGTCAACTACAACAGGAATGTGCTTCCGTTTTTTTTTTCAGAATTTCAGAACCCATGAAACAGGGGAACGTGGAGCAGACAGCGTAGCTCATCATCCATTCATCCTCCCATCTTCCAACCACTTTATCCAAGCAACCTGGACCCTAGCCCAGCAAGCAACAGGCGCAAGGCAGGGAACACCCTGGACTGGATGCCAGTCCATCACAGGGCACCACCCACCCACACACACTCAATCTCCAGGAGCCAATTAACCTCCCAGCCTGGCTTTGGACTGTGGGAGCAACCTGCAGGAAAGCCATACGAACATGGGGACACCATGCAAGCTCCACACAGACAGCGCCCCGGGTCCGGAATTGAACCCAGCACCGCGAGCTGGCAATGCTGACCACTGTGCCACTGTGCCGCCCCAGCGGTGTTAAGCACGTCCGGAAAACACCTGGCGGCGTGTACAGCATGCACATCAACATCTGCCTTCCCACCTGTTGCTCTTCAGGTACAAGGTTGTCCAATGACAGGAGGAACTCCAGGAAAAGGCCCGCTGGGCCGGGGGAAGAGCAGCGGCGCTGGGGACTGCTCACCTCCCGCTCTGTGCAGAAGCAAACCTGAGACGGCCGCACTGTTCAGATTCAGAGTGGATCCCAGTCCTGTCAGGCCTTCCGACTTCTTTCATTACTTGCAGACGGATTTATTTAATTCAGTACCAACCCAGTGGGCTCCGGTCCAGGCTGAACTCCTGTTTTTGTTTGAACAGGCCTTTTGGTGTCTTCCTTAGCAAATTTTATTTTAAATGACCCTTCCCTCCATCCCCCAATGGCACATTATCAGGTTTTGTGGAAATTAAAATGTGAGAAAAGCATTTGAAAGCCCGTCTTCCTCCAAAGCAATTTCTATGTTATCTCCTTAATGACTTTATATTAAATACAGCAGGAGCATCGGGCAAACCTATTGGATTCTGAAAGGACAGGTAATGGGAACGTGGAGGGTTATGGTTTGTGTGATGTTACATTCTTACTAAGTAAAAGGCCCTAAAGCTGCAGTTTAAAAGTCTTTCACCATTAGGCAATTGAATGTGCAGCAATCAGATTTAATAACACAGACAGATTTTTCTTCTGGTCACCATTAGGTTCCATCCTGATTAGTATATATGCATACACATCCTTGGTCGCTCCTTGGGAATGATATGTGCTGATGAATCCCATTAGAAAGGTAATCTGGGCAGATTAACAGCCCCAGCCTGGCCATAAAAAGGAAACTGAGCTCTCGTTGTGCAAAACGGGACACAAGCCGTGGTCTGTAGCTGAGATCGATCTTCCATTTGTCTGCGTGCATTTGTGAGGGTCATGATTTATAGGCGCTGCTTTCGTCCACCAGGTGCCAGCAACACGAGAGCAGGGGTAATCGTACATTTCGTAGTTCTCGGCTTTGTAGCTCCGGCAGCTGCACTGTCATCATTCATAAACTCCTGCTTCCCTGCTCCGCACGAGAGGAGCACGGCACTCACTCGCACATCTGCTCTCTTCCGTTACTTCCTACTGGGGGAGGCCTAACAACGCCGATTCTCATACCCATGCACCGTGTGCAATGCCCTCAGCAAAAACACAGCTGCTCTAATTCCCGTTTGCGCAGGAAAGCAGCCAATAAACACAGTCAGGTATAGAGTCAGCTGCTCAGCAAGCAGGTGCGTGAAGTCAGTCGTAGGAGCATTGTATAAATTGGGACAAGGTGCTGAATGCCTAATGCAAAGAGGCTGTACAAAGAGCTGGAATTCAATGCACAATTCAGTCAGGACCCTGGACAGCTCCTAGTATGCAGGGATATCTTATTTCCTAAGGAGAGCACCTGAACTCAGTGATATTGTTTCTCCCATCTGGAACAGACGTGATTACTGGTGTGGAACTTACTAAGAATAATAAAATATCTTTATTATAACAAAGCCTGTGTGTCAGATTACTGCAATAGGAATGAAGAGCTAATACCTGATACAGCAGCTAAATTACTGTTATAATATCTCATCTGTTAACAAGAGTGAAACTTAACAATAAAGTTACTAGGAATAATAAAAAGCGTGACTATAACAAAGCCCGTGTATCAGATTACTGTAACTGGAATGAAGAGCTAATACTTGATACAGCGCTAAATTGCTAATAGAATATCTCACATGTTGATCAAGACAGGGTTAGTAAAGCTGTTTACTATGCAACATGACTGACTGACCCCCACCAGCGGAACAATTTGCCTCATCCCAGTATAAATTGATGCAGTTTTTGCACTGCTTACATGCTGAGGGCCAAAATAACAGCCTCCTCCAATGTTATTTCTGCCCCTCTGTGTCCGTGAGCTGCTGCAGCAAAGAGTAGAACAGCAGGCACTGTTTTTTACACAGAGGGTTGTAGGAGTGTGGAACAAGTTACCCCGCCAGGTTCGTGAGGCTGATACCCCATGGCACATTCAAGAAACGCTGAGATCCATGATGGAGCGATTAGCTACCGGACACTATGGTCTGTTCTTACAAGAGGACAGCGGCCTACCTCCACTGCTGCCTTCGCTCTCTCAAACTCCTCCTCCAGGGAATGGTTCCTGGACAGCAGTGCACTCCCCCAGCGCTGCTCCTTACTTGACCGCCCCTGTTAACACACACACACGCGCACACGTGCGCGCGGTCAGGGTCAGGGTCAGGACCAGGGTCAGGGTCTGAGTCAGGAGCAGGAGCAGGAGCACAGTCAGGGTCAGAGTCAGGATCAGGAACAGGGTCAGGAACAGGGTCAGGACCGAGGACAGGGTCAGAGTCAGGGTCAGGACCGAGGACAGGGTCAGCCGGTGCCCAGGGGATACTCCACTGCCAAGCCTCCTCCGCAAAGCTGAGCAGGAAAAAGAAGCCTTTGAAAACTGCCTGAAAGTTTGGCTTTTCCGAAAGATTGATTTCCATGCCTTGTGAATTCATCAGCAATTACAATCACTGCAGGCTGTGCATTTAGTCCAAGTTTTTTTTGTCATTTTCTGGATTTTTGTGTTTTTGTCTATTTTTAACTTGATATTTCCAGCTAGGTAAATTACAGCAGAAACAGGAGCATTATAACTGAAATTGCATTAATCGGAAATGAGGAAACTTTTCAGGAGCGTACCCTGATTTTCAGTTCATTTTTTGCGGTGTCAATTATTTTTTTCTGAAATGGCCTTTTAATATCCAGAAGGATCTATACATCCTGCTATATAAAATGATCTTTCATTACAGTGCCTCACAACACTCATAGATAGCTCCTTATCATTTCCTGAAACCAGAGTGGATCCAGAGATGGAGTCATCAAGGAAGTATAAGAACAGGGAGTGCTTAATTAGCATAAGATTTGAAAAGGGCAAATACTATTCAGTAGAATAACAAATACACAGTCTTGTATTAAGCTTGTACCTGCTGGATTTGAGTGCCTTCCTACAATGATACCAATATCATTACAAATCCTCTCTAATCCAACATTTTTAAGAGTCTTATGGGGTGCTGCTGTAGTCGAAGGAAGGCTAATCAATCACAGATGTGATCTGCTGGGTGGTTGGGCTCCTGATACGAAACAGCTCCTGTATGTCGCCCAGGTAGGGCTACATTTCAGGGATGGATAAATTGGGTCCCCTGCCATGCCAAAAGCACTATGGGATGTCATGGGATAAACTGTGCTGTAAAGGAATTATTAATCTGCTTCCATGAAATATTTTTTTCCCAAGGCAACAAGACCAAATGCTCAGCCTTCCTTAACCTCCTATCTGCTGGTCTGAAACTACAGTACTGCTGAAAACTGCTCTATCAAGCTTGATCATCATAATGGCATTGCTGGTAAAGGTTGACATTAAGGTTAGTGGTTACCCACCTTGAATTGTGCTTAGTTTTCTGCAATAAACTAGTGCAATTCCTGTGCTGATCGGGATTGTTTTGGGAAAGTGCAGGTTAAGAAATATAAATGAATTCCTCCGAATTCCATTGTATAATTTATGCTGCTACACTGAACGTTGTTTACATATGTATGTGACAATGTTCGTCTGTCTTCTCTCCTGTTTAAATTTGTACTGTATATGTTGTACTGTATGTATGTCTCATCTGTGTACTTGCTGTACCAATAGCAAATTCCACGAACTACTGCTGTGTGTCAATAAAGAATAATCATCATAAATAATGATTTTTCTGGTTTGAACTCTATGGAGACAATTTTTTAAATTCCTCTTAAACAGTTAACATATATTTGAAGAATTTATTTCTGTAATGTCAACAGACGGAGGTTCTGTGTCCTGACTTTCGGACAGCTTAATCCATCATTACCCCACGCTTTAAAAAGCAATTTCAGCATTTCAGAGGAAATTTTTAATTTAGCGTAATGTATAGTATTTGTGCACATTAGTTTAGCGACCTATCTCCCACATTTTGTTTTTACTGATTTAAATATGATAGTGTAAATGTTGAAAAGGGGTTTGTGGGCATTGATTATTTGTTGAGATAACACAGGCTGTAACCGGCTTGCAAGGTGTGAATAATTGATCAGGTGCTTATCTGACAGAGATGGCTCTTAAATACAGCAAGAGGTGTCCCACAGCTGTATGTATCCCATTACTTCCAAGATGAAGCATCTGACACACATACATCCCTATCCTGCAACCATAAAATTCAGAAATGCCTGAAACTGAATTTTAAATGTGGGCGTGTGTGGACAGTTGCTTTATACCAGAGTATCACCGCAATATATGTTAGAAGGTACAATGATGTTCACACCAGACTTTGTCGTTCATTCGTTTAAGTTTTAATTGCCTAGAGAGTCTGTGGTTCCTCGTGTGTAAAGACACTACACACTACGCTGAAAACGGAAAAGTTAAATTTATTAAATTTTTATTAAAATTAGTTAAAATTCAAACTATTTGATCTATGGGGCAAACAAATCTGGTCTGGGAGGAGTAGACTTGTGGGTTCTACAGATTTAGATCTGATCTTACAGATCCATCACCTTCTGGAGATCTGGAATAGACAGGAAATGTAATACTGTAAATAATTACTTAATTCGCTAGAATTTCAGGCTGGAACAAGACTCAGAAGCATGGTGGCCCTCAATTGCTGTCGTTTGTGTTAAGATCCCTGTCCTTACAGTGCAGGCGAGCTGCACACCAAACCCCTTTGGCTAACAGGGAACCTGAACCTCAGCTCAGACACGGCTGAGACAGACGCTGAGCAGGAAGTCTCTGAGAGTGCAGTTCGCTGGAGAAAAAAGAAGTAAACTGCAAATCCACACCCTTAAATTCGTTTTAAAACGTTGGAGAAATGAATACCGTTTCTGCAGGATGCAAACTGAAACAGCACCTTACCTGGGACGCAGCTACAGGCTCCACCTCCAGAGAGGAACTGGCCTCTAGGGAGTTTTTTGCTGATGACTCAGACTGTGCTCTGCTTTCTGAGGGCCTGAAGACAACAAGACAAAATGCATCAGAGCAGATCTGCAGCAGAGGTGATTAATTAGGGGGGAAATGGATAAGACAAAATTTCTTCAAAAGATCCCATCCAATACTTTTTTTTTTAAAAAGAGTCTTGGTGTAGCTGAGCTGCACTCTGTTTGCGATTTGAAGGGCAATTGACCACTTCTGTTTAAAATAGTGAAACAGAAAGTGCTTCTGTGGCTGTTAATATTTCACCTCCTCATCCTGAGCCAATGTCTCCTAATAGTAGGATGTAAAGTTTCCTTATGCTGGCTGTGAGGAGTGCAGTACTGTAAAATATCCCCTTGGCTGAAACAGAGGCCTTGGGTGATTATTTCCTGCGAATCACCTTTTCAGACTTCTAGAAGGAGCCTTCAGCCTTTGAACATAAGGTTTCATCTTCCTTTGTCTTGTGCCAGACTGTGTAGTTCCAGCACTTATTACAGCTTATGGAACCCAGGCCATATGTCACGATTCGTGTGAATCAGCTGGTTGCGAGTTTGTTCACACTCTGGGTCACTTAATTAATTCAAAAAAAGAAACAGAAACATGGTCATATTTAAAGCAAAGAGAATGAATTTGTGCGATGCAGAGAAGGAAAACAGATTAAATGTTCGTCTGTGATTTCAAAGACGTTCAGTAAACAAAGGAACAAGAGAGGCTGAGGCACAACGGAGACATAAGCCCATGGTGGAGTGCAGTGCTGCCGCTGCAATATGCAATAGACAGAATCGGCATGCCACACAACACCATGCACAAAGAGGAGCAGACATCAACACCTTCATGCAGGGACTCATGTATGTGCTTCTTAGTTAAGGACTAACAACTCCACCAACAGAGCAACAGCTGAGCGTGTTTCCTCCGCGGTGAGAGCACTGCACACAACGTTGGCGCCAAGGTGAGGCTGCCCTACCAGAGGAATTCACTGGATGAGTGTCTAGAAGATCGCCTTCTCTCCAGCTTCCACTTTCTGCTCCCGTTCCGCTCAGCATGCGAGCTCACCTCCTCCCATTTCTCCAGGGGGGAGGCGACAGTAACTGTGAGGGAGGGGAGAGAGGGGACAGCTGGTACACAGGGAACTTCCCGATCTTGAACCTCGAGCACCGGCTTCAGCAGGCGAGCTACGCGGTCAGTGGGGCCATTCTGAAACACACGACTCCCCCATAAGTGAAAGCACTCCTGTCCTTTTATTTATTGTACTTTTAGAATGAGAAGAACACTCTTACTGTATGTGTGTCATGGAAGTGGAAATGAAATCTCAAGTGCTGTGGGGGAAACCGTCGTAGGAGAGAATACAGTTGGCACTGTAGGCTTTTGAGGATTAAAACAGCAAACCTCACCCCTGGTCCTGCAGAGCCTCAGAAACCGCAGGATTATAGGAAATCTGAACTGCTCAATGACAGAAGCTTGGAAACAGTTACAATTAACTGCCAGCAACTGATTTAATGAAGTCATCCAAGCTCACATACAGTAATAATTATTCATAGCAGTTCAGGTGGGGAGCTGCGTCAGCATGCGTAGGCTGCAAAGGAACAAGTAATGGGTTTATTCCCTGCTGAAAGGAGAAGAAAGAAAACACAACGTTTCGGCTGTGGAGCCTTCTTTGGGTGTGAGAAAGACCAGGCAGACAGCAAAGATTAAAGAGCACAGGAGAAGAACAGCTGGGAGAGGGGAGGAGGCGGGTGCAGGGGAGAGGCAGAGAGGTGAAGAGAGGGGTAAAGTCGAAACCTGCAGGAGAATAAAGAAGATGACATGAAAACAAGTCTGTCGTTGAGAGAAGGGGGAAGGTGTGAACCGAGTTTCAGGAGAATTGTTGTTTCTGATGTCTTTCTGCTAGGGGAGTTGAGAAACCCTTCTTTGAGAACACAGACGGAGAGATCAGTGTGATCGTGGCCATCTGAAGTGAAATGAGAAACTATGGGCTTGGAGAGATCTGTAATCTTCACAGCTCTAACATGCTCTCTGAAGCAGTCTCCTAGTCTCCTTCCTGTTTCCCCAACGTAGATAGATACGTAGATAGCTGGGCATTATAATCATTCATGTTTGCTTTCATATGTAAATGTATTTCATCCCAAGCTCTCCCACAGTGCTTCTGAGATAGGAGGGACCCCACCTGGGTGATGCACAGCAGCCCCCTGTACGGCAGGGTCATGAGAGAAGCAAGTAATTATTTCACCCACAGAATTAAGGGGGACATTTAGGGAAGCCAGATGGTGCAAGCCCTGCATGGCATTTAGCCAGCACAGACAGTGCCATGGGATCTTTAATGCCCCAGTGCTCAGGATCTTGGGGTTAACATCCCAACCAAAGGATGGCACCTCCCCCTGCACCTGGTGTGCCTGGTCACCACAACGAGAGAGCGCCCCCTACTGGTACACGAACACCACTTCCTGCCACAAAGTGGTCTTCCTTGGAGATCTCCCATCCCAGTGCTGACCAGGCCCAGCTTCTGACTTCTGACGAGCAGCAGGCCCTGTGGCTCCAGGTTCGGGAGTGAGGCTCAGGACTATAGGAGGATGCACTGTAAGCGCGGCGTCTGTCGCGGGGCCGATCCAGTCCGTGGCCCGGCCCAGTGTTCAGTACACCGTACCTGAGTCCAGCGACGCTCTCTCCGGCGCGCGGGAGCTGGAGGCGCTCCGCTCCACGTCCACCTGGATCAGCTCCGTCTCGTCCATCTTCTTCCTGGGGGGGGTGCCCTTGGCCCCCTCCGCTCTCTTCCCAGCCTTGCAGCTCCGGCCCTCGGAGGGGTCGCTCAGGTCCAGCAGGTCCAGGCTGGGGGAGAGGACTGGAGGGGGAACAGGAGGAGGCACAGCGGGTCACGCCGACCCGCTCGGACAGGACGGACTGTCAGGGCACGTGCCTGCGAGGTGCACCTTGGGGCAGCGCGGCACCTCTGTGCTGTACGTCCCGTCTGCGTGGGAGGGGACAGGGCCGGGGCTGGGCGCCCCCGTGTGCTACAGTGAGGGACAGCGGCTATTCCTGTTTCTATCAGACCTCATGGACAATTTGTCTTCCGCAAGGCACGCGGCCCGAGACAAGCGCGCAGGCGGGCACAAGGCATCAAAGCTGCTCAACCAACAGGCAGAAGAGAAACTTCACACGGCAATTTAAAAACCTCTGATTTTAACAGCATTAGACAAGACATACTGTACACCCTACGATTTCTGTGGGAATGCAGCTGATTACTTATAAATTCCAGGCCAATTCCTCAAGACATCAGAATCAACATCGCCAGCCTTTCCAAAATAATCTTCTCTCGGCTACTGCTCTGCTCTGCTCTTAATTGTTTCCAATTAAAGAACATTCGATTCTTATGTTCTTATCTTCTTAAATTAGGCTCATTTTGGGAAGGAATTAAAGACGTCAGGAATAATTTTGAAAACACTGCTGTTTAATTGGAAACAGGTACCCAGAGCTGTAGCATTGACGGAGGGTAGTGAAAGATATTTTACAATTGTTTACACAAATGTCTGACAGATTTAAGTAATGAAAAGTAAATGTTCCCTATTAAAAATTAATGAACACAATCTTTATGTAATTTAATATTATTATGCTGTGTATTTGCTTCTGTTATTTATTCCTCAAATGATAAACTGTTAATTGCCAAGCAAAGACACTCTTGGGTTTAATCTTGTGCTTATCACTGTTATGGGAAAGACTGTTTCCCAAAGCAATAAAGAAACCAGTGATTCTTTATATGCAAAGTTCAACTGTGATTATCAGATGTTCAGCAAAATGAGAAAAAAAATTGCCTACCGCATTATTCTTATTTTATTTATTTTGCTAAACTAAAATTAAAACTCTGATGTTTCTGGCCTGATGTTTCTAAGGTTACTAGTTGCCATTACAGGGCTTTAAGATTGACAGCATGTACGAGTTACAGTAAAGTGCTGGAAAGTTCTTGGGATTGCTGAATAATGAACGTCATCAGTTCGTGAAGTCATCTGATGCCACAGAAGATCCCAGTTTATATGGGATTATATCCCAGATATGTGCCCCTTGTAAGCTCTAGCGGACAGACCAGAGGTCTGGATGCACAGAGAGTAAAGATGTCTGCAGGGAAAACGCCAGACTTCACAATTCCAGAGATCTTTGAGGGACAACCTCAATACGGCCCTGGGTCCTCTGTTTTTCCACTCCAACTGAGAGGTTACAATTGATTTCATTAACATTTGTCTTTGATGTGGTCACCAGATTTGCACATGGTGTTCCGAGTGAGGTCTTACCCAGAGCGCTATGCGATTTTAACCACATCCCTTGATTTGAAGGCAATGGTTAGCCAGGCTGCTTCAAAGCCCAGGGGCAGAAGGACTCCCAGCGCTCCGAAAGAAGCCGGGGGGGCCGACGTGGAGCGGGGCGAGGTCATCGGTCCGGATTCGCTCTTACCTGCCGTGTTGGACGTTACCGGCCGCGAGGCGACATCGCTCTTCGTTTCGCACAGGAAGTCATCGATGGAGGGGCTCAGGAGGGGGCGGCTTTCCTGCTGCTCGTTCACCAGCTGGGAACAGAAGAGAGGGGGAACATGAAAGCCGGACGAGCCCTGTTTGATGTGAGAGAGCCACAGGTGGGTGTCGGCTGGCCATTAGCACACAGGGGCCGGCCTCTGCTGCCGCACGAAGTCAGCAGCCAGACTCGTGCGTTTGAAGCGGAGAAGGAGAATGAAATTAGGAAGGAAACAAATCTGAATCCAACGCTGCCTGATGATGCTTATTCAGCTGCCTGCCCATTCGCGGTGACCCCAATCAGAAGAAGAGAAATTCAGAGCCGTATTTTTAATGACGCCAGAAAAAAAAAACCCTAATCACCCATGGTGAGGATGCACGGTGCGCGGTCCAGAAGCACAGAGGTTCATGGTTAATACAATTGACATGTTCTGCATTTTCAAGACACGTCTGTGTGCATTTAATCTGCTGTTCTGGGGAACAGATGCTGCAGCAGCTTGGGTATGCAGAATTATTACTTCCTAAAATCCTCACAGAAGTTTTGTATCAAAGCTGAGGAAAAGGTGTTTCGCTCTCAATACCCTATTTAACACAACAGAATTACAAAAGTGGGGGAAGTTTCTGAAGAGATCAAGATGCACTCTAAGTGTTTTGAGAACTGTATAGATGTATTGATAGAGGCAGACCCTAGCTTGTTTGTGGTCTGTGAATGGCCTAACAATGTATTGAACCAGATGCATAGAATATCTGAAATTCTGGTGTCGAGCTGTGTGTTGTCGAGCTGTGTGTTGTCGAGCTGTGTGTTGTTCCATGACGATTGAAAGACCACTGTACAGACCCTGGTGAGCTCTGCTCATTCGGCTCATATCCTTCCTCCATGAGCTGGCAGACCTCCTATTGTTTGTGCTGAGCTTTAGTTCTTGGGATGCGTTTTGTGAAGAATAAAATTCCAGTAAGTCCACAGGGCTTTTATAGAACTTGCTGTTAAGTGCTTTTTCTTTATAAAGCATCACCGGCTTGTATTTGCATTTTGCCAATTGCACACTTCAAAACGTGAGCTCTCCCTCTTTTCACTCCACGCAATTTCATACGGATCGTAACTTCAGTTGTGAAGGATCTAAAAACTATGTATCTGCTGAGACAAAGAAGTACCTTTTCAATATGAAACTGTCCTATTTTACCATTTAGAACTATGAGCAAACAAACAGAGATCAATGGCAATTTTACACAAAAAAAAGGTTTAAAATTAAAGCTGTTACTTGTCCATTATAAGGTATCATTATTTTCAGTTGTTGTTAACTACTGTCAGTATAAAAACCCAATTAGTGATGAATGGCTTGTTTTTTTTTCTGTACTAAGAGAGAGTTATTACAATATCCAGATAAAAAGCCACTACAGCAGAATGAAAATGAAAGTACCTCCTGGTCATTTCAAACAGGGTTGTTTTACTTTGATTCATCTCTCTTTGAATACAGATCTTAGTAAACGGCATGTTTTAATAAAACCCCTTAATATATACATAAATCAGAATGTTTGGGAAGATTCTTTCCGAGATCTCGTGCAGATTGCTGAATAATGAACGTCATCGTTTTTTTTAGTGATTTAAAAGTGCTTTCGACTTTTTAGTAAGTAGTGCAACTATGATCCTCTTATCATAATAATTGCAAGGAAAATGAGGTCATTAATTAACTTAGAGAACAGCGTAGAATGCATTTATATTTCAGTAGCCTGACAGATAATTAGAGGATTTCCATGTTTTCAATTAGAAATCCTGCACTCTTGGCTTGTGCAGAAAAGCACTCTTGGTATTAGGAGATATTAGGAGGGGATGTCAACTACCCATTCATTTTAAAAGATTCATGAAGAATTCCCAGACAGAGAGTAGCTTTTTCCTGAGGATACACATGGATACACTTTGTCTCTGACGGTGATGCAGTAACAGAATTCATGTTTTTAGCCAAGGTGCTGGAAGAAAAAGCATATTTCTAACTAGACGTCTTTTGAGCATGTTAAGCCACTGCAGCACTGATGTTTGGTATCAACACGCTGACAGCACTGTCTGAGATCAGCGTGACAGAGAGGCATGATTCAGCATGCCCCTTGCAAGCAGGGCTGAGTTCATCAGTTGGGCATCTTTGGATAGGTGACAAATACTGTATAAAAAAGACAGCTCTTTAGATATGTACACTACTGCACTTTGTGCAGTTGCACCATGTTTTTTTCTGCTTTTTGCAGAAATTACATCTGGATTTGTTCAAATGATACACTGTGTAGAACCTTTTCTGGGCAGTCCCCTTGATCCTTATCATTGTTCCATGTCTTTCTTTTTGCCAAGTTGCTGGATGTGAGCTCACAGCTTCTACCATTCATTGTCATTGTCTCTGGATTTACCTAACACTTCCAGGAGGAAAGCAATAACTGCGGAGGATGACAGTCCAAAGCAAGCAGAGCCCTGCAGAGTTTCCTCCTCTGGCCCTGCCCCACTGCTCAGCGCTATCAGTGCTGGATCTGAAATGTCTGCTGATTATCTCCAACCACCTGTTTCTCTCCTGACAGAGAGTACGAGACGCAGAGCAGGCGAGACGGTGGTGGAGGAAGGGGAAGCAACAGGACACTTCCTACCCTCAGCATTTCTGCCGCTCCAAACATCTTGTCGTTTTGTTTTACGAGCGCTTGAAGGGTAATCCAAATTTGTTTCTAATGGAAATCTTTAGCTAACTGTGTGGCAGCCAGGCAGGGAGCCAGGAGGGATGTCTTACATGTGGTTGTCAAGGGAACCCTGAAGTGGTTAAACTCATGGGAGTTTTCGGAGAAGGCAAGTGTTTCCTCCTGTCATCTTCCTGACGCTCGGAGAGCCACTCTGGTACCAAAGGACACCTCGACCATTGCCAGATCTCAGCGTCAGAACTTCCAAATATTCTTGACTGCAATACCAGACCGAATACAATAGCAGGTCCGCTTCACAGTAAAAGTAGGCGTGCAATCAAAACTGCCAAACTATCACTAATACTACTGTTTGCTTCCAGATACCAAATACAACTAGGCTTTGCTTGTGGCACATCCTGAACAGGGCTTTGCCAAGGAATAATATCCCAGTGAGCGAATCAGAATGGGCAGAGAGGAGGACAGACCGCTGACCTGCACTGCGCTGTTGATCCCCCCAGAACCCCCTGCATCAGTCATCGCAGCAGAGCTGGAAACACAGCTGTGGCTCGTGTTTGTTTCATTTGTTTCAGTGTCTTCGTGGAATTAACATGTATAACACTTATAGGTTTTTCCGGAGTGCCGCTTGCTGCGGTTTAATCACATGGAGGAGACGGATTTCGCCGTGCAGTTGCTCTGACAAGGGCCCGTGGGGAAGGGAAGGAACTACACTCCCTGGCAGTTCAATTATTATAATAATTCTGTCGCAAGTAATGGGCTATTACAATCTGAAGCGTGTAGTGTTCAAAATAAAAAGCTTGCATAATGTGATTTATGGTAATTTAGAAATGCAAGATGTTTGTTTCAATTGCCACTGATTTCTGCTTCCTTGTGGACCTGAAAGCGAATAGCAGAAGGCCATGTTCAATCTAGTGTAATGATTTTCTGTATCGAGCACGTTAATCAGTAGATAGACGATGGACAGATGATAGACAGATAGACGTATGGGGCCTAAAAGCTAACGAAACAGGGACATAAATTCCAGTGTTGTGCCCTCACTGAGCTGACTGTGAATCCTGTATTGTGCTGTGCTATCTAACTCTTCTCTTAGTAGGCTGTTCTGCACACTTCGAACTTCGGGTACAGATGGCAGCCGAGCGAGTTAATAACATTTATTTAAAAAATGCCAGAGTCAGTAACAGTACAGAGAAGCACAAACAGCATTTTTATCCATTTCAGGTTCTCAGCTGCAGTCCCTGGTGTCAGCCCATCCACCCCTCTCTCCAAGCCCTGATTGGTGCTGTGAAGAATCACACAGCTGGCTGGAGCCACGTTCTGCAAGGGGCAGGACTAGAATGGCCACCGGGTGAGTAACTGCGCTCCGAAGAAAAATGTTCTGTAAGTCACTTCCTGGGAAAAAGACTTATTTGGCTGGAAACTACCAATGCAGTTTTTTTTTTCATTGTTAATGCACACAGATTGGGCCTTAGACAGAAGCAGTGGGGTACAGGAGAGTTATCGATCGTCTTCCATTCAGGAATTGCAGTCTCTATCGATTGGTGTGAGCCAGGGCATCTGACGAGCTCAGTGGTGCCAGCTGCTGAGAGTGTTTGACTGAGGTAAGCAAGAGCTGGATCTGTTTCTGCCATGAGGCACTTGTTAGACCTGCCCAGACGATCAACACTGAATTCATCAGTATGAGGCGCATTGCAATCTCATGTTTGCAAGGAAAGAGGCCCGGCGACAAAACGATTTATAATACGGTTAAAAACAAACAAAACAAAAAGGTGCATTTTTTTCGTGACGGACTGGTGGAAAGAAATAAACGAAAGTGGCTCGTGAGGACATCATAACTACAGAGAGCTCGTCATGTTAAAATGGGAAAATGAAGAGCATCATGTCATGCGAAAAGACCAATTCCTAATACAGGAAATTGTATATGGCCAATAAAGTGATCTCTTATATGCAAGTGCCACGTGACTGAGCACCATGCAAGTGGAACAGGGACCAATGCCCCGAAGTGACGTCACCCCCCTGACACCCCAGAGCTGGCCCGCAACAGAAGACACGGCGACTGTGCCTGAAGCAGACCCTCACCTGCAAGGCTGATTTGGTTTGGGAAGTGTTGTGAAAAAACCCAGACCAATTTACTATGCATTTGTGACTCTCATGAGCAATGTGAAAGTGAAGGTTTTTGTAGTATTGCTATGGAAGTGCACTATTCTGATGCGCTTGAATCTGTGGGACATGCGGAGATGGGATGGGGTTTTCCTGCTGCAATGAGCCCGGGGGACAAGGTTGTTGTGTGTGCCTCTCTCAGGTCCGTCTCCCAGGTAACCCTCTCTAGATGAGTATGCAACAAAACATGGGTGGCAGCTGATTAAGGCTGGGTTTTACACACCAGGTCCTCAGCAATCATCTCCTCTAATTAAAGAATACTTGCTCGTTGTGGTGCTCTCGCCCCGTCCTCCGGAGCACGACTCAGCAGTAATGCCGATTTGATTCAAGTGGCATCAGTGCCTCCGAGTCAGAGTGAGGCCTCCTGTCATCTGAGCAGGGCTGCTGGCATTGGAGCTGGCAGGATGGGGAACAATTCAAAATCTCTGCATGGAAATAAGGTAGTATTACTGTGAGGATGAAAAATACTCATCCTGGGCCTCTGAATCTCACTAGGATGCCACTACAAGCCATGCCTATGGCTTTTCCAGCCACGTAAAGTCTCGTTATTTCGGTAATGCCAACGGCAATGCTCCGAGCTCACAGAGCAGCGCGCGTGCCTGAGCCACAGGATGCCGAACGGGAGGAGATGACCTCCCTGGAGCCTCAGAGAGATGAGTCAACCTCAGGAAGGGTTGGAGAGACGCTGTGCTCAGTGGGAAGGACTTGGCTGGGAGAGTCCGTGCTCCAGGCGCCTCAGGGTCCACAGAGGGCCCGATCCACAGACACTGACAAGGGCAAGACTGCTGCCCCGAGAGAGGGAGAAGGAAAAGGGGAAGAACTGGCCATGAGCAGGGACAGAATCCAAACATTCGGAATCGTAATTTGTACGGGTTTCCCAACTCCGACTCCAAGATAACAGCTTTTCCCAACTCCGAGACTGACACTGTTTCTCCGATGTTCCCTTCGTTAGACGGTTTGGACCCAGGGTGTGCTCTGTGCAAGTGTGTGGCTGACTTCACTTTCCTTCCTCCTGCCTGCTGCTGAACACAAGACGGGTCTCTTCCAAGAGCACTGCACTGCCGGAACAGCGGCACTACAGGACTAGAGAGCCATCATGTCAGGCAGATCCTCTCGCAGCAGACAGGAATATCAGAATATGTACTATAATGTACCTAGAATACTAAACTAATAAGCTGTGCTGGAACTACAAGACTACAGGCAGCACATTATTGCTTTCTGCAAGACTACTACTACAGCAAAGACTACTACTGATACAGGAGTCCAAAACAACAGGGGATTCATTAGACTAGACTGGACTGGAATAAGAGCCAGCACCAACCACCAAACCTGGGAGAGATATTCACAAAGTCCAGCACCAATCATACAAGGAAAGAGCAGGATATCAGACTAACGTAACAACAGGGATGCAAAGACAACTTAAAAGTACCGGTTTGTGAGCTGGCTGAAAACAGTAAAAGACAAAACTTTGTATTAAGGAGAAAAAAAATTAAATACAGTGCTACCCCCAGCCCAGACAACATCCCCCAAGAAGATAAAACAATTACAGTGTCTGAACATCATTTAGAGCAAAACATTTCAAAACCAGTCAAAGTTTAAAGCAGGGAACAACATCAAGAAATCCCAGTAAAAAAACACGCAGACAAAATGAAATATAAATCAAGGAGGCAAACAAAGTCACCACAGACAGAGCAACGCACAGCACACACGGCAAGCAGGACACTCAGAGCAACGCATCAGATACCACACCTGCACAGCACAGCTTCCGTGCTAAAGCAAAGGACACAGAATCACAGAACAATCAGCACACAGACACAGAGCCAGAGAAAATCACCCCTGAAGGCGCATGGGATTAATTTACTCAGAATTTAATCCTATGCAAACAAGTGTTACTTGTCTGGAATGCAGAAACAGAAAAAGGAGCTCAGCTGCTTATGAGGTGTAAAAGACACAGTTGGTCAGGGGCCCTGGGACCACGGGCTCTTCCCGGGAGCGAGGCATGGCGCACGAGCAGGGTGGCGGCAGTCCTGACGTGCTCTTGCTTCGCACCCCACAGGGAAAGACAGGCACGCAACAACCTGAGCCCTCCGTGAAGGGGGGCAAAAGAGCCGTCATGACGGGGAAGACTAGGACTGTTCTTTGAAAAACAATACAGCAAAAGCCGAGCTGAATTTGTCATGCTTCTGGCCAAGATGTAGGGATCGCCGGCAAAATCCGTTTAATTAGGTGCGCAGAGATAACAGATGGGTGGAACTGTACTGCTGTGTCATTGAGAACTCTGGCAAGTTAACGGCTTTATCCATTAACTCTTTAATAGGATAAATAAAGCATGTCTTTGCTCTGTCTAACTCGGAAAATTTGTTATTATGGAGATTCTATCGATGAATGCACAGGAAAGGGTGCTAAGATGAAACAGTCCTAATCCCTAAATCTATAAATCTATATTTTATACCCCATAAAGCAGCTTGCAATGGAAAACCAGCTTATTTATGAAGAACAGCTAGTAATTCTTGTTGACTTGGATGTGGTTGTTTTATGGGCAAACGATTTATGGTTCAGTTTACTCACACAGAGTGGAGGTTAGTTATGGGATGTTTAAAAGGCCCCCTTTAAAAGTTGTGTCGCCGTTGCTGTAAAATCCCCATCAGGCTAACAAGCACTTCCCCCTAGGAAGCTCGAATGGTTCTGCCCACCTGTGTTGTCACGGTGAGGAGAGGTTTTCCTTCTGAAGACTCCTTACTTGGTATCTCCTTCATCACCATGGCAACAGCCTTATCTGCAGCCCTAGAGTCTTTCCCCTACAACAGTGAAATCAACAATGACTTGCGTCAGGACAATTTGTTCTGTTACCAGGTTCATATGTGCAACTGTTTTCTCCCACAAGGGTCGCTGAACACAAACTTTTTAAAACTCAATCATTTTTGCGAAAAAGTCCCCCGGGCACCCGCGGTCCTGTGCAAAACGGATGCAGCTTGGGGCCAGTGGCTCATGGACTGACTAAGGCTAAACCCCAGGTGTCTTCTGGGATTGCCTGGTCTGGACAAGCACGGGCACCGACCCGGCCACAGAGACGCCCTGCAGACCGCGCTTACCTCTCTGTCCAGCCCTGAAAGAGAGCAGCACCATCGTCTGGATTTTTACTGTTGCTTTGTTTTGTTTTTTTTTTGTTTTTTTTTTACAGGTTTGGCCTTAAATTAAAGAAATTCAGGACGTCTCTTAGAACAACTGTACCGGAATTGAAAAAGAAAGTCAAGAAGCCTTGTGGCAGAGGGTCAAAACATGTTTGGAGCTGAACATACGTCTATGGAACTCATTTCTGTAGGAAAACACACGTTTGCAAGTGAGAAACTTTTTCTTGCTTGGATTCCTTTGAAATCTCTGGGGAGAAGCGGCTGAATGGTTTAGATTCGCCTTTTTAAAATACAGAAAATCACAGGCCAGAGTGATCCCTTTCTTTTCTCTTGTGGAAATGCTGCTGTTTGCTAAGAGAATGAAGGGGTAGCTCAGCACAGACTCTTTCGGAGTACTTCCTTAAGTATCACATAAATCGGAGAGAGGACAGGGTTCATGAGCCATGGGCCTGAATTAGATCAAATCACCAATCAGCTCCCTAAATTAACAGACAGCCGCACAGGGGGGCTCTGTGTTTATAGGGGGTTTCTTGCTTCCACCATCAGGCAGCAGGTTTGTACAGCGATTTACAAACAACAGATGGCTCCAAGTTTTGATGTTGTGAAGGTTAAGGGCCGAGAAAGGAGAAAACGTGGGAATCAAGGTGTGGAAAATCCATTAACCTCCACAGACCACAGGGAAAGCACTGGGATCAAACATGAAGCAACATCATCCTCTGAATCGCATCCAGACACCAGCAAGAGACCACAGCTAATTCTAATAAGACATTCTATTAAAGATGCGTTAAAAATAACAATGGAGTTTGAAGCCTTCACTTAACGAAAATTGCACTTGACTTTATACACAACTTTCACCTACAGTCTCTTTCACTGAGAACTCTACAATTATCACACAACAAAAGGCTGAAGGGCTTGATTTGAAAGTATATAAAAGAGAAGGATAACTGCCTTAATAGGTACTTAAAATATGAAAGGCAATACAAACTAGCACAAAACAAGAGCCTGGAAAGGACAAGTCCACAACTGGGAACATGCTCCACCAGTATCATGTATAGTAAAGAAAGTGAAATGAATATTATTACCTTAGTCCCAGACACTCTGTTCTAAACCTGCACTAAAACCAGTAGAATTAACACAAACATCTATTTTACGCTTGAGGGAGTGAGCGAATGGCCTGTTTTGTTCACTAAATACACAATATACATCCATTTTCAGCAGAGACCATGCAAGTAAATGGTTTAGGCGGTCGATTTCCACATCACTGTATCAACGAGGACCGTTCAATTACATTGTACCCGAGATGAAAAAAATTAAATGAACAATGGGGAAGAAGATGAAGGAAGATTACTGATGAATGAATGGTTGATTTCGCAGAAGAGGATACTGGAGAGCTAACTGCCACTGAGTTGGTGAAGGCTATGATGCACAACCCGGGTGTCAGAAACTGCAGGAGGCAGCTTGTGTCTGTTCCCTCCTCTTGTAACAGTCACACTAAGAACGGCCATTTCTCGCATACGGGTGGACGTCATAAAAGTCACCAGCCGCCCAACAAGGGGGCGGCCTTTTCGCTCACGGTGAAGGAGCTCCAACTTAAAGAGGCAGCAGAAGAGATCTCCTGTGCAGCGAAAGTGTGAAGAAAAACGAAGACTAGCTAATATTCCCGCGCAACGGTGAGAGAGGCAAAGCTCTTCTGCGGCAGGGGGGTGGATGGGCATGGGAATCGGTATGATTGGTGTTGACCATTATCTCTGTGGCGCAGGCCTCAGAGACAGGCAGCCCATGAATCTCCCTGAGCACAGAGCGTCCAGCAGTCACAGGCCTTTCCCACCCAGCCTTGTCCCCCCTCTCTCGAGGCTGCGGTCCGCTAAACCGCAGGTGGGCCATTAACACATCCAAACACATGAGCCGCCTCCCTCTCTTCACCACCGGGCATTTTTTTTTGTACATACGAACAATGAAGAGCAAATGCTTACAAATTCTGTTCAGTAGTTTTCTCTCTCTCTCTCAGGAAATGTGTGGACCTTCCACGATACTACAGTAGGCTTACAGTAGGCCATCACTCTCTCCTCCTGGTGTGCGTTTTAACACCTTCTGTCAGTAGCTGCCTTGCACTTGAACTGAGTGTGCAGTAGTGGTGTGGTCCTGATAGCATCATGTCTATGACGCAGGGTGGAGTGGTGTCTCTGGGGCTCAGGATCTGCGCCTGTGGCTGGAAGGCTGCCGGCTCAAATCCCGCGGCCGGCAGAGGAATCTTACTCCGTTGGGCCCCTGAGCAAGGCCCTTAATCCCAACTACTCCAAGGGCGCCGTATAAATGGCTGACCCTGCGCTCTGACCCCCAGCTTCTCTCCCTGTCTGTGTGTCTCATGGAGAGCAAGCTGGGGTCTGCGAAAAGACAAATTCCTACTGTAAGACATTGTATAGGGATAATAAAGTGATCTTATCTCTTATGTCTGATAAACAGTTTGATTGTTTTTAGTTTTTCAGGTTAGTGTTTGTTTCATTGTAATCTTGTTCCTCTTCCATATCTTATGACGGAATAATTATGTGAAAAAAGTAGCATTTTGGACAATCCAATCTTATTTTTCTTAATTAATTCATTACATAAATCCCCCGGCATTTTTAATTAATCACAAATCTGTCCATGTTTGCTATGTGTTAGCAGCTCATCTTTGGTTTCTCTATAAATGCTCAAACTTCTAACCCTGTTAATGTTCATTACTGGCTTCTGGTCCAGATCAGCGCTCAGTTACATAGTTGGCATTGTTTTTTATTAGTCCATTAAAATGGATTTTCAGCTCCGAAACACTTTGCAGGTTCTGTATACAATTTTATAGATCATTTGAAATATCACGTGCTGCATACAATTAAGAATGATTAATTACATAGATTGTTCATTACATAGTTTAATTAAAAAAGGAGACAAGTCCATATTTTCCCTGGGAGCAACCTGCCAATTTCCTGTTGGCGTTTCCTGTAGATGAGCTATCTGCTCACTCTTACCCCAGCAGCGAAACTGGTTTCTGATTTAAAGCACTCAAAATGTTGACCAAATCCCTTGGGTATTTTTAAATCAGCACCCATTCTTTGTACTGACTGAGATGCTGTGATGAAACTGAGACTCAATAGAAGGTATTAAAAGCTCTGAAAGCCCTTTAAGCCCTGAATGTTGCTGTGGAATGAAATATTAACCAGGATATTCACATTCAAATAGTCACCCGTCCACCTTCACTCCAGTTTATCCTTAGAGAGTGGCAGTGAGTAAGTAATACTGTATATGCACACATGTTTTCACACAATCTAACAAAAGACATAACATTGAACTGTATTTCCCGATATTAATGCTACAATATAAATACTCCTAAAACACTTTATCCAAACACTTAAAAGTTTTGCACAACTGGAAACAATCTTAAAAATAGCAATGAAAAATCAAAGTATTAAATACAAAGCAAATGTTTTGCAGTGGGGTGATAGGGTGGGACAGGTAGGTGATGAGCTGAAAATATTCCATCACTTATTCAAGCAAAAATAATTAATACTGTAGTCAGATGAAGTCAGTCAATCCTGGCAGTCAGCATGAAGGCAAACGCTTATTAAAAGTGAAATAACTCGCACACCCCACTGTCAGAGAGAACCAAGCAAGGTCACGGTGCTCTTTTCATCTTCCCCAAACAATCTGGGGTGAAATAAATTAAGGAGGCATGAGCTTAGGATATGAAGCATTAATCAATACTGGTCTTATCCTGAATTTGAAGAAACACAAATATAAATTCCTAATGGCCCTGGAACACGACAACAGCTTTAATTATTCAGTCTGACACTGTATTTTACATGCTAGAGAGCACTGAAACAAAGACAGTTTATTGATGCAAGTTGAAAGCTTTCTCTCTTGTTAAAAATGAAGCTGAACCTTTTTTTTTTGTTGCTGTTTACAGCATTAAATCAGCCAGTCAAAGTCTGGCTGCAAGAGAGCAACCAGCAAGAGAGGCAGGACAGTGCGTCTGGGCACGCCGAGTGTGTGCGGTGTGGACACCCGGCTGCAGCTGCTGGGCTTCCTTCCTTACTGACATCCCTGACCAGCCCAGGCTCGTTTCCATGGTGATGACTAGGACACCCCCCAGCCAGGCCGGCATGACGTCCTAGCTAGCGTCCTCGCAGGGACTGGAGGTGAGGGGTTTTGTTTAGAAACGTGAGAGCCTCGGTCAGCTGCCTCATTGATTCCTTAAGTGTCACACTCCGTAACACCCCACACTCTTCCGAGATAAGCAGGAATGTGACAGCACAGGGCTTTTTATAGACAGGTCACAGGGCAAGCACAGAAGCCTCAGCAGTGGAGGCTGCTCTGCTGGTACGATTCAAGCAGGAATGAAACAGCTTAGTACTGCGAGGCCCCAGGGATCCACTGTTTCTGAGAGAGAGAATTATTTCCTGCCTGTTTGAGAGGACAATGCGTACGAGGGGAAAAAAGCCCAGCCCCAGGTGGGGAGAACATGCTGCCTCCACACAGACAGGTGCCCAAGGTAGTGGGAGCTGTGAGGCCCCAGAGCCAGCCCCTGTGCCCTGTGCTTCCCCGTCAGGGGCACACAGCCCACTTCTGTTAGCTTCATTTCACTGCCATATTCCCAAGGCATCCTGCTCAGCCACCCTGCTGCCCCTGTCGCCCATCTGACAGGAGAACGAGGGCTGTAAAATAAAGGTAGAACTCTAACGGTGACGGATTGAGACACCTGAATAAGACCCGTTACTGTCTCAGGTCTGCATTAATGTTTGGGCTGGCCCGGTGTCCCGCCTGGGGGCTGGCGCTCTGTGGCTCAAGGCCAGCGTCCTGATGGCTCATGCTTGGGAGGATGTGTTTGTGTTACAAGACAGAGTCAAATCCGCAGCGAAAACAAAATCGTCTTTCCCCCAAAGGGCAGATGACACGGATAAGAAAATATCACCAAGGTGTCAGAGCAGGCTCTGCAGAGATTCCCGTTACTGAGCCCGGCAGACCCCGTGGGCCTGTTTCATGGATCGCATGGCACAGCGTGGGAGAGGCTCCTGACGGCGGATCAGCTTGGAAAAAGCGTCTCAGGAAGCTGACAAATGAACCTTCTGGATGACCTCAGAGCCTCTACAGGCACGCTGTCCCAGACAACAAGACATGACACATGAGCCGAGTCAAACAAAAAAGCTTGTGTTGGAAGTGTTGGTGCTTCCACTCTCCCCAAGGATGTGAACGCAAACGCTGCCCATGCCAAATTAATTACATGGTCTGGTGATCTAAATCTGTGAGCACTCCGCTTGGCGACAGTGCTCCATTAGCAGAATGGAAAGCATTTTAACAAAACCTGTGGGGATACTTAAGAGTCGTTTTCTGTGCCATGCCCCCTGTCTGGTGCATAAAGATGCAGCTCCGAAACTTACTTAGCCAGCATGGGCGGGCACCGCTCATGGCCGATGAGAAAAGGTGTGCACAGAGTGTGTGGGAAGTTTACGGAGGTAGTTGTGCTTTAAATTCTACACACCTGACATGAGTTCAAAGCCCAGGCTGCACTACAGCGACCTAATTGTTTTAAATTTCCTATTGGTAAAACGGACCATTCTACTCTAGGGTTGTGGCATATGTGCTCTAAACTAATTTCGGCTGATCTCAGCGCGTACGTCGGAGTGCAAATAACATTATTTGGCTCCTAACAAAATTGGACACTTGAGCAGATTTGTGCAACTCCGACAGGAGAACAAGAGCTGTAAAATAAAGGTATAACTCTTACGGTGATGGACTGAGACACCTGAATAAGACCTGTTACTGTTCTAGGTCTGCATTGATGTTTGGGAATAAAAACATACACAGCTGAGTTTGTTAACAAAGGGTGAAAATCTGCCCATCAAGTTCTGGCGTCCATTGGACACAAATGATACTTCCAGACCTTTTTTCAGTTAAAAAGTTTTGCAAAATACCAAACGCTAAGGGCTAGGGCTGAACATGCGAACTCCACACGCAAGGTGCCACAGACTGGACTCAAACCCAGTCCAGGGGAGCTCGGAGGCAGCAGTCTGCTGGCCACCTTGTCCCACAGAAGGAAACAAGGAAATGGATGTATGTTATTATTTTTAAACACATATATTAGAAAGGAAAGGTAGTGATAGATCTTTAACTGCACAACACTTCCAGTGGCTATCCTACGTGTAAGGTATTCAGTCACAGCTAATCCTTATGACCAGGAAGACAATGAGAGCACTTGTTTAATTACATTAAGCACAATTTAGCTTTTCTTTAATCATCATATCTCAGGGGAAATTGAATTTATCGCACGCCACTCTTAAAAGGAAATGGAAGCGAGTTTCAAAGCCATTATAACTTTAAATAAAAACACTATCTGAAGCTCTGATCCGAGTTTAGAAATGAGTTGAATGCTCAGCTTGCCCTCCGGAGGACTAGCGAGCAATTTCTCAGACTGCCGGGGCGAGTGGTGCGGTAAGGAGAAGCAGACCTCACCGGGGGTCCGCCGTTCAGCAGAGACCCCCCGGCCCCCGGCCCCCGGCATGCCCGACCGCGAGGAGAGGGGCCCCCGCTGGAGCGGGCTCGGGCCCCATCGCGCATCTCCCGACCGAGACCTCGCCGCAGGCCCGTCACCAGCCCGGCTTCACCACGGGACAGCGGAGACGCCGGGAGAGGGCTGCAGGCGGGGACGCAGGGCTGGCTCTTGCCTGAAGAGTCCTGCCACCCACCTCTGCCGAACGGTGCGCTACATCCGGCTTGGCCCTGGGCCCTTCCCTGGGGCTCATCGCGGGGCACAAACTGCGGTACGGCCTGACCTCCTGCCGCTCTCTGAAGGCGTCTCCTTCACCCCGGCGCGTCACACAGCGGCGATGACCTTCAAGACCTGCACAGGGTAACGCGTGCTCTTTTTTTTTATTCTTCGCACCGTGTCATCGCCCTGAGGCAAGCGGCTGCGGTCTAAAGGAGCAAGATCTTCAGGGCGAGGTTTACATGGAAAAGGAAGAGACAAAAGCACGTTGAGGTCACAGTGCTTCCACTGAAACGCCCGAGAGATTTTTTCATGAGAGATTGTGCTCTGTGGCTGGTTAGGACAGACTTTACACAAGGCAGGGAGCACACAGACAAAAAACAAAAAAGGGTTTTAATTATTTAAGACTGAGACACCTCATTCTACTCGGCTTCACTGGGAATATATTTATAGATCAACACGCATGTCTCCCTGTAGTGACCTCTTTGACAGATCTTGAGCTTTTTTTCCTGCCTTTCTGCTGGGCAAAATTCAGGACACGAACGTTGTGTGAATCGAGAGAACTGCAAAGTCTGTATATTCAGAACAGGGTCAAGAGCTGTGCCATTAGAGAGCATTTTCTTTGCTTGTGCTGGAATGTTCTGTGGCTCTAATGTGTCTAAATACCAGAACGGAAATTAAACAGTAACTTGCTTACCCCTGATAACAAAAAAACTGCAGAGTCCGAGGTGCACTTTATTTAACAAGAAATGCCTGACAAAACCGTGTGCCTGACAGCAATTCTTTCCAAACAGCTGGTGTAAGCAAATCCATACAATGTGGATTTAAACTCCCCGTATCACCAAAAGTGCTGTAGCATTTCATTAAGAGTAGTTATTCTAAGAGATATATTTATATACCTCATTATATATGGTTTGCACCAAGAAGGTTAGTGGTGCCATATACAGTATAAAAAGATGTCAGTTGCTCATTATTCTGCCAAACTTTCTAATCTTGATCTGAAGATAAAAAAACAATTCAGATTAGTACTTCTAGAAAGAATAGAGATTAAGCTTACGAGCAAATGCCAATATTATCTGCTTAAACACTGACTGGGAACAGGTCTCAGGCTGCACAACAGGCATAGACACGCACAGTCAACTTCCCTGTCAGTCCGTAAGTAGTTCTTACGCAAAAGGCCAAACCTCAATTCACAGGACACAAAAATAGGCCTGAGCTGTAACTTCTAAAACAGGAGACTTGCTAATGATGCACAGAAATACACCCCCTTCTGCCCTGCACGCACACAATTAGCAGCTCTGCATAAACAGCACTTCCTGGGTACTGGCTTAGAAAATGTCTTTGTCCCAGAGCAAATGATTTTGGAAAGCTTAGCACCCTGTGAATTAAATAGCTGAATACCTTGTTTCCTTGTTTTTGTTTATTATAGGACCTTATTTGAAAAGGCTTTTTGTACACATTCCTTAAAATTGCAAGTTTTTTTCCCTAATTATGTTTATGGTTGCTGTGCCAATTTTACAAGAAAAAAAAAACAGTGCTCTCTACCAATAGGTAATATCAGGGAAAATACTTCCTTGTTGTGTCTGGCTTGAGCACACCTCAGCAGTTTGTGCTGATTAGCAGTCAGGAACATTTTGCACAACATGAGATCGAGGTACAGCCCTTGCAAAAGAAGATCCCAGCTGCTCTCTTCGGGAGAACTGTGAACAGACCTCTCTCTAACAAGCTCATTCTTCCTGCCTGGTCAGATGGACAGGTTTTCTTACTGCCTGGCAAACTGCCCCCAACACGTCGCAAAAAAGACAAGATCTCAGAGGCTTTTAAACACCACGCGTGCGATTCACTCTCTGGCATTTCATTTTCTGCAGATAAAGATTCTTCAGGTACTGTACGGGTCTCCTGCTCCTTATCAGCAGCACATGGGAGCACAGGCACTACACAGGAAAACAAAACACTGGACATCTGGGAGGCTTCAACCGCTTTTCAAACACGTGCTAGAAATTTTCTCCACTTTATTTTAACTTCATATAAATTGCCCAAAAATGGTGAGATGTTTAAATGAGTAAGATATTCTGTCTGCGCAGCCATAAATATCCCCACTGCCTGCGCAGCTCTGACGACTGCCCTGCCTGCGCACCTCTGATGACTGCCCTGCCTGCGCATCTCTGATG